AGTCCGTGGCTGACTCGCCACTAGAAAGGCAGCGGCGCCGGGGGCCATCGGGGACTGTGTCCAGGGCAGAGAGCGGGTGGGATTTGTGGAGGTCTTAGGAGCCTGGGCAGGGAGAGCAGCGAATCCTGCCTCGCAGCCCGCTAGCAGAGGTCTGGGGACATGCGAATCAGTAAGAAGAAGAGCTTGGCACTCAGTAGGCTGGGCTGTTACAGTTCTCAATTTCGCCCAGGCAAAAGCAAGGACTGTATGTGTCTTAAAGACTGCTACCTGCTTGTCTGCCCTTGTGCTGTGTGAGTTTATTGGTTTCTCGGAGAAGGGAACCTTTGAGGCAAGAAGGGGCACCCATTGTATTTCGAGAGCAGGCCTTTCTCCCCTGGCAATCACGGGAGTTATTAAGCTCTTCTCGACTGTGTGACTGTGCGGTGGCCTAGAGCAGGCCACTTGAGATTGTGGGAAGGCTCCGTGGAAATGCCACGCCATTAGAATGCAATTAGGCTGTACCTTTCCACTCCAATTCCACTCTTAATCCTGGACAAATCATTTCTGAGTTCAGCAGCACAAGGGCCCGCAGTGTTTTGGGAAGAACGCCAGTGAAGTGGTGCGTGGGACCTTGGTCCCTGATATCAGGATGCAAGGCCATTCTGGAACTCCGCTGCGCTGCAGGCCCCCCACCCCCACACCACCCCCCCGCCCTTGGAGGTCAAATATCCTCTTTACCTTCCCTCTTCCTCCCCAACCGCTGGAGCGCCTGATCTTCAGCTCCGAGTTAGGTCCCAGAGGCAAGAATGAGAGGCCCCAAGTGCATTATCGGCTTGGGGCTGGAGCGCTTGGGCATAGGCTGACTCTCCAGGCTCTCTTGAACGCCTTGGGTCACAAGACCCACTTTCCCATCTATCTACCCAAAGATAGTCATGCTATGAAGGAACAAGCTGGCGCTGACTAATCCCTTCCCTGAGCCCATTTTGTCATTCTCACACATACACACTAATTCCTGACTTCTTACACCACTTTGCAGGACACCCTCAACTAGATAACCTTAAATCAGTGCTCAAGGTACCAAAACTGCCACGCTGGAAGGGAGAACACGAAATAAAGGAAAGGGTTTAGTCACGAGCCCAACGCCGCCCCAGTACTCCCTACTTTGCCCATCAACACAAAACGCAGTCCCATCTCTATGCTCATGTGCCCTGGGTGGCGTCCTGTAGGAGGAGGTGGGTACTGGTGGAGTCGCCAAGATTGAATTTTCTGTATTCTGACTCCAGCGCCCCCAGCTGGCGGGTTCCTGCTTTTTTCAGAGTCCTAATTGGTATTTCCTGCAAGGACTGCATAACTTTTTGTTCTCTCAGACCTCTCCAGCTCTTTAGAACTTTCCCTTGTACAGACCACCATCACCACTTGCTCCCCAGGTGGGTCCGCCGCTACACCAAGATAGGGGTCTGGTAGGGACTCAGGGTTTTCCTGCGGCCTGACCGGACTCCAGGTGGGGACACAGACAGAAAAGAAATGTGAGCCCATCCCAACCCACCCTTCGATTGTCATCTGTATCAATTGTCCATCTAGTCGGTTCCAATTCAGAGCAGCCCTGTACCCCTGGTTTTTACTTTCTCAAACACAGTCAGCTAGCCAATTGTTCCCAAAGGCTGGGGTCTGTTTTCTTCATTTGGTTTCAACCTCCAGGGCTGCGTGGTCCAGGGTTCTGGCTGGGAACAAATGAAAGACGCACGTTGCAAACGTTTAACATCGGAACAGAAAGGGAAACTCTTGGAGCTTGTTGCACACTTTCTTTGGGGTCGCAGAGAAAACTGTGACTGTGGCAGCGGCCGCCAGGAGGTGACAAGCCACTGGGAATCCTGTTTAGTGAACTCCAACCGGAAGCGGCTGCATTCCCGTTAGGCAACATAGGTGCAAAAATTACTTTTTTGAGTCCACTTGGCATACTCACCTTTACAACCGCAACTGCAGGTCGGGTGTAGCTGACTGTGGAGTGGGCTGGCTTGTATAGAAAAAAGCATTGAGCTCGTCGCTGCTCGGAGTGACTCGGAACTCATTTCATAACGTTTACATAGTTTTTCCCATGTAACCAAATATTTCGGGTTAGTCAAGGAAGAGGAAAAGAGGAAATCTGCAACAGGTAGCTTGGGGAAAAAAAGTACTGAGGGGGCACTGCGCCCCCTGCTGGCCAGTGAAAACTCCCGGCAAACGCCAAGGATCTCACCTGGGCCTACCAACGGGTGCAGAGAGTGTGATCCCTGACCCGTTGCTGCCTGTGCGGGGACCATCTCTTTCCATCCCTAGGTCCTAGCTCCTTGTGCCAAGTCCTTCTGGACAAGCCGCACTGTAAGGCCAGGCCCTATTCCCAGAAAGTCGATGGACAGGAAACTGGCCCCAGGCAGGGCAATCAATATGCATTTTCCGTGTTTCTGGGGAGGAGGACTGTGTGTGTGTGTGTGTGTGTGTGTGTGTGTGCATGTGTGCCGCACGTTAACCTTGGGTGGGTGCTATGTACGAGAGATTTTTATGCCATTTAGAGTACCTGGCATCTAACAGACTCTCAACAAGTGAATCGAATTAATGTAAACGTGTTTGTTCTTTCCTGTGAAAGCTGGGTACAGTCTGTTGGCCTGTGAGTCTGAAAAGTGGAGCGGATAGAGATAATGCAAGTTCCTGTGTTTCTATTGCCCACGCTGGCACACACAGGTTAGAGTGGACTCGGTCACTGCGCACTAGGCATAGCCGAGTTACGTACACCGATTCCGTTGTCTCAAGGAGTTTAAACTCCGAGCCTCTCCCAGCTCTCAGGCATAGCCAGCTCTTCGCCCGCTGTTGGTGGAAGTCGAGTTGTTCAGATCCTACAAGCACAGGCCAAGTCCCCGGAAGACACCAGTCACCTCCTGGGCAGGGCTGTCTCAGAAGCCCGGACAGAAGACTCCACCAACCTCGTGCTGAGTCTCAGCCTGCTGGTGATCACCTCCACCTCCAGGCCTACACGAAACAGGCCGAGGTGGAGGCTCCCGCACCCAGTTAGCTTGCCCAGCTGCAGGCATCATAGCCTAAGAATCGCCGAGATGCAGGAAATGGCCCCAGAGGTCTGGGAGCCCAAGTCTTGTGTGTGTGTCTCGTGGGGGGGGGGTAGGGGGAGCGTATTGGGCCTTGCGGGCGTATTCGCCCACGGGGTCCTGGTAGCGAGGGACATGTTACCTACAACCACCACGAACTGTGACCAAAATGCCTCAACTTTCAACAAGTCTGCTTGGGATCTGTGTGAGAGAGAGATCCCTCATTGGGGGAGGGAGATAAACACGTTAATTTACCACCGCAGAGTCTCCCTGCCGCAATGGGAATTGAGCAGGCAGCACTTCCACCTCCGCCCCCTCTGCGTAACCTGCTTGGGAGCTTTCTTATTCCCAGCTAGAACCCATGACTGTTCACCCGAGCCTCCTCAAGTCTCTTCTGACTCCCCACCCCATTCCTTCAGTTCCATTCTGAAAATGCAGCTCAGGATGCAGCTTTCTGAGAGTGGAGACTTGGGCTCCACCGCCCACGCACTTCCCCGCGCTCGCCTTGGAGCGGGCGAATCTGCGCATTGCACAGCGCTTGACCTTAGGAGTCTGCGGCTCCTGCCAAAGAATCAGCCCATTCAGAAACTTCCGCAACTTGGTCCTTAGCCTCCACATCTCCGAACACATGCACTTACCCCTAGCACACAGCCTCTCCTATTTCCTCCGCCCCCAGGTGAAGAAAGTATCAGGCCAGGGCAATAAGCTGTTGCTGGTGGGGAGGGGAGGGGAGAGCAGTTCCCAAGAGAATTAAGCAATCCACCCCTCAGGGATTCTGTAGGAACCTTCGAGAAAGGGACAGAGGGCTTGGGGGAAAGAAAGTTTTGAGTTTGCAGTCCCTTCACCCTGCGACTAACCCATGTTGTATGTGTGAAAGGGGTGTCCTCTCGTTTGGGGGACTTGAAAGAATATAAATAACCTGAATTGCTTACCTACCTAGGATTTCAAGTCCCTGCAAGACACAGCTGCATTTCCGACCCATGGGCCTCGTGGCATATATCCATATATATATTTAATATTTATGATTTCTAATTTTATTATAAAATAAAAGCAGAAATATTTCCCGAAGAACATTCACATGAGGGCATTAAGTGGGAGACGGCAAGTCCAAGGCGCCAGGGCACGCTGCAAGGGACACACTTGTGGCCTTAGTCCGGGGAGGAAGATAAGGGAGCAAGCATGGCGGTATCCCGCCGAGAGAGAGAGGGGGACCAGAGGCAAGGAGGCGCTTAGGAGCTTCCGTGTCTTCAACTTTTCTCTTTCACTAAGTTACCAGGGCACAGCTGACGTTTGCGGCCTCCGCTGACCCCGAAGGAGGACTGCTGGAGACGGTTTAGATTCAAAGGCTTTGCCTTTCCTTCAGCTTGTCCTGCTTCCCACCCTGACCCGGGAGAGTGAAGGATGGTGATGGGGAGAAAATAGACCGCCGACACAGAGAAAAAGACTTAGAGGGCTGGAGACAAGAGTGTAGGGGCAGATGCGGACCGGGCAAAGAAATATAGAAATGGAAACCTAGTGAGAGGTGACAAGTCAGAAATCTAGCGAGAAACAGAAAAAGGGGAAGAAAGGAAGAGGAAGAGAGAAAGTAAAGAGGAGGAAAAGTAAGGGAAGATGAGGCAAGGGGAAGGAAAGAAAAGGAAGAAGAAAAGAGGGAGGACAAGCATGTCGAGAGAATGACAATAGTGTATAATTTATTCCCTTCCCTGGACCAAGACCTAGCCTCCATCCGCCAAAGGATCTCAAATACCAATTTGTTGAAAATAAATCCCGAACAAGTACTAACCCAGACTGCCATTCGCCCTGTCCGAGCCAGCGACAAGCCCGCTCAGCGTGCGGATTCCTCAGTATATGGCGGGGCTGCGGGCACGGGCGCCTATGGACAAGGTCTCTCACAGTTTTCCAGACCCAAGACCGGAAGGCAATCGCATTAAGGCGGGCGGGGCTCTAGGAGCCCAGGTCCACGAGGTTGGCCGACATGGGGTTGAGGATGGAGTCCTGCAAACTATGGTGGTGCTGCAGTGGATCCGCACCGCCTCCTCCCGGCACCGGCACGGGAACGGCACTGGGGCCTGGAGGGTGGCCCAGGCTGTGTAGGGACGGCAGCCCGGGTGGTGGCGGCGGGCTGAGCAACAGAGCGGGGCTGGACGACGAGTGATCTGGCGTTCCCGACGGCGTCTTCTCGTCCTCGGAGCTGCCTAGCACTGACTTGCCGCTACCGTTCAGCGACGAAGCCAGTGGATTGTGGCTGTTGGAGTTGGAATTCTCGCTGTTCTCCCTGCAAGTGCAGGAGAAAAGCAGCCGAGTCAGGGGAAATCCATGCCTCTCAGCGCCCCAACACCCAGGGTCAGCGCCTGCTGCCTGCCCCAGTCTCTCCGCACTGCCTGCGGGTGTTTTCGGTTTCGACCATTTTCTCTGCCGGCTTCCGCCAGACCTCAGACTTTGTGCTAATTCTTTCAACACTGATTTCTTCCTCTTGTTCCTTCCCTTCTATCTCTATCGCTCTACTTCTCATGCCCTAAATTTCATAAATATCTTTCCAGCTTTCTGTATGTTCTCCGTCTCTCTCTGGATTCCTACATTTAAATTTCTTTCTAACTCACCTCTGGGAGCAGAGGACCAGGAAGCAGGGCCCGCTCTGGTGGATTGTTCTGGGGAGCAGGCAGAGAGATGAAACCTGGATTTTCAGATTGGATCCTCAAGCAGAGTTTACTGTATGGAAGTGGTACCAAGGACCTTGGTTCCAGGCTACCGGTTCCAGGACAGGGATCTTTGTTTTTTTACTGTGGAAGGGAAACTGTTGGCTGGGGGTGGGAATGAGGGGGAGGTGGGAAGGCTGCTGGGTAAATAGTTCTTTTGCTCTAGCCCATGGCCCACAGGCCTTTGGAGTGCTCTCTTCACTGGGCTAAGGACAAGACCCTAAGGATGGAAGAGTCCTTTGCTTTGGTGGCCACAGTGGAAACTTCAGCTGGGGGCCAGGATCTGGAAGATTGGCGGGTAGGCCCAGGGAGTGGATTAATAATCCTGAGCTAGACTTTTCTGCCATAACCTGAAACTCAGAAGTACTGAAACCCTCAATCTCAGGCCTAGCCTGAGAACCCAAATCTTTAGGCGTCTGGATACATGCCAATCTGGGTAAAGGGGGGAGACTAGCAGAGAGCTCACCTCCTGCCCTGTCTGATTGATAGACCCTGCCCAGAAGTGGAGATCTGAAATCCTACCTCCATTCAGTCTTTTACCTGCTTCCCAAGAGACCTTTTCTTCCTTTTTTTTCCTGAGGAAACTTTCTGCATAGCTGATTGCTGGGCCTTCCCACTGCTGGGCCTTGTGGTCTGAGATCAGGCCTGCCTACTTGCTGGCTGAGAGATCTCTTCCCATCTCTGACCCTTCCCCGGCTCTCCGCTGCATGTGCTCTACACCACAGGCCCTAGGTTTCCTGTTTTGCCAGTACTCTTGGGCTGGATTGTGTCCACAGCCAGGTTCTCCCCTATTCCTCTCCAGATTTGGGGTTCTGAGGGAGACACAGGGCAGGTACCCAATATGGCCTAATGGTCAGCAGTTAGGCTAGTCAGGAAGTCTTGGTTTCCATGAAGACAAGAAACTCCCAGCCCTTCTACGGCTCTTAGGGCACTACAGAAAGTGGGCGTCTCATAGACCTACCTGAGGAGAGAGAAATCAAGGGCCTGGCTAGCCAGGGAACGGACGCTGGGCCTAGCACGGCAGAAAAAAGAGCATGTATTTCTCTATTTGTCAGGTCTGACACTTCTTCCTGAAAGCATTTTGCCTATTGATTCTTTCTATGCGGGATGAAGACCTCCCTCTCTTAACTCCTCTATCTGGGCAAGGGAAATTCTTGTTCAGGCCTCTCTCAATCCAGGCCGTATCAAAGAAGTTCCATTGCTAGTTCTGACCCCTAATGTTCCTTTGGTCTTGAGTTGAGTAAGGATTAGGGGGAAGTGCGGGCGAATATGCAGAGCCAGCCTGAAATCTGAAACACCCACTGTCCTTTGGAGATGGATCAGGTCCTGCCTGCCATATCCCCTATGCAGGGGCTCCAGGTTCACTGTCCTGACCCGGCTCTGAAACTCGCCGTTTCTTCCCTTTTTTCAGCAAGTAACCAGGAGGAAGCTGACAATTCCTCGATTGCCTAACCCGCTTCGGACAAATCCCTGCTCTTCCGGTCTCCGCACAACCTCAGCACCACCAAGGTAAGGCCAGTTTAAGTTTCTTCCGGGGTTGTGCAGTTCCGGGACCCCCTCCCTCGGGCCCAGTGGAGTCGGCGCCAAAGTTCTACTTACTCGTACCTTTCCTTGGCCTCCGCCGCCCGGTCGCGCTGCCGCCGATTCTTGAACCAGTTGCTGACCTGCGTAGTGGTGAGGCCGGTGGCCTCGGCCAATTCGCGCTTCTCGCGGGGTGAAGGGTAGGGGTTGTGCGCGTACCACTCGCGCAGAACGCTGCGACTTTTTTCCTTGAAGCAGTAGCTGGTCTCCTCGCCGTCCCAGATGGAGCGCGGCAAGGGGAATTTACGGCGCACGCGGTATTTGCCCACAGCGCCCAGGGGCCGGCCGCGCAGCTTCTCGGCCTCGATGTAGTGCGCCTTAAGCCACAGCTGCTGCAACTTGGCGTGGTTGTGCGGCGAAAACTGGTGGCTCTCCAGGATTTTGTAGAGCTCGCGGAAGTTGCCGCGGTGAAAGGCCACCACGGCCTTGGCCTTGAGCACGCTTTCATTCTTGTGGAGGTGCTCGCAAGCCGGTAGTGACCACAGGAAGCGGCCGAGGCGCTCGATGTTGCCGCCCTGCTGCAGCACCTCGCACACGCACGCTACTTGTTCCTGCGTGAAGCCGAAGGTGGGCAGCATGGACATGGTGCCGGCTGCGCCCCCGCCCGCCCGAGCGCGCCCTCACCGTGCTGCGCGGCCCCGCATGGGCGCCTCCTCCCCTGGCTGTCCCGGCAGAGGAGGCGGGCGGGGCGGGCCCCCCTAGCTCCGCGCCGGCTCCCGGCGAGCCCCTAGTCACTGCAGTGCGGCCCCGCGCCTGTCGTGGGGCCCGCGCCTCTCTGTGCGCCTCGCCGAAGACCTCGCCCAAACCGCTGGGCCGCCTGGGGCGCCGCTCAGCATGCTACGCGCCCGCCCGCCGCTCCCTGGTTCGCTTCTCCCTCGCTCTCCCTCCCGTCTAGCTCGTTCACTGCTTTTTTAATAATATTATTCTAAGCGGGCATGAGGCGCGGCGGCCCGGGCCCTGATTGGTCTGGTTATCTGACCCGGGGCCTGCCCGCGCCAGACAATAGTCGGAGTCAAATTATTCGCCATGGAGACGCTGTCAGTCACTGGTAACCTGAGCTCCGGAGGGCCGGGCGGCTCCCCCTGGCCCGCTCTGCTGACAGATCGCCCCGTTCTGCGCAAAGCGAAGGGCGGCCCAAGACAGGAGCCGGAGGCGCATCTAGAGCCTGGGAGGCGGAGGGAGGCCGGGCCCGGGCTGGCAGCAATGATGATTGACGGGGCGGACGCCCAAAGAGATAGAGAGGAGAAGGACGCAGGAGGGGGAAGTTGGGACGCTGGGCGAAGAAAAGGGGAGGTTGAGATGGAGAGGATAGAAGGGAGAAGAGTGGGCTAAATTCTGTTTAAGAAGGTGCCAGGGAGAAAGATAGTCATGAAAAGAGCCTTGGGGAAAAGGGGCAACTTTGCGTAGCTTTTGGCAAGGGCAGGCACAAATCCCCACCCCCAAACAGGGTCACTGCGCCCCTCCTGGGGTACATTCTACCCAGGAACTGGCTAGTAAAATGGGAGAGTTTGGAGGTATGTGGGGTCCCCTCAAAGATTTAGCTTCTTCTCCTGACATAGCCCCACCCCATTTTAGGAACCTGGCAATTGAGCGGTCCTTAAGGGAAAGCCAGAAGGAGGAGAGAGAAGTGGGGAAGGTTTAGCAGTGGCTGCGGGCGGACGCCAGAGAACGTGCTTCCCCGAGATCTTCGGCGTTTCCTCCCTTTCTTAATCTGGCCATCTGCCCTGAGGCTAGTAACGCCCGGCTCCGGGCTGACAGTACTTTGCCAGAGGGGGATTCAGAATTAACCCCGAGGGTCCCGCGGCCGGATTATCGCCTGGCTATTTGGTGGCCTCTACAATAGTTGATTCCAGCCAGCAGCGGCGGCGCAGAGCCAGGGAGCAGTGCAGGCAGGCAGTCTGCGCACAGGGAGGCGAGGTCTGCCAGTTTAGGACTGCTATGATGCTTCCCTAGTGGGTGGTCCGGGAGGAGAGAGTAAAGGCAGACCCGCGTCTCGGACTCTCCTCCCTACCTTTACTGAGGCACTTGGCCACTTCAGTCTGGGAGCCTGGTCGCTGAGCTTCAGAATAAGGGACTTAAAAAGAGGTCCTGTTTTCGGCTTCTTTGTCAGGGCTCATGGCTGGAAACACGTGGTGCCGATTCTCTGGGAGAAGGGCCCTCAGACAATCTGGAGGTGGGAGGTGGGTGGTTAAATACAGTTTCTTTGGTTTTGAAAAGTCCCGGGCTTCCTGAACTTGTCCTTTCCATGTGGATTTCCCCTCTTCGTTCCCAGTCACTCGGGGCCGGGGACCGATTCCGCATCCAAAACTGTTGGTCTCACTGCCACTTTCCTGGCCCGCGGTGGGAGCTGAGGCCTGGACCTGAGCCAGCGCAGAGCCCAGAGTCCGCCCCCAGTCTAGGATTGTGGAACCTGGGTCAAAGGCACCATTTCTTCGTTTCCACCCCCTATAAACTTTCTCTGGAGCTGATGCTGAGAGCACTGAAATGGGAGTCCTGGGTTCATGCTTGGACCTTGCTTGATATCTATGGGCAAGACCCGTATTTACCCCTTTAAGTATCCATTTCCAAACTGTCTTCCCAGGGTCAAGAAATGGAACCCTGGCGCTCTTACTGACTTTAGGTTCTTGGGGCTTGACCTGGTTTTGAGCCTGCCAGGGCTATTTCCCTTCTGTCAAAGTAGGTTCCAAGCCCAAGCCAGTGCTGGGATAGTTCTCTGGGGAAATCAAGGTAGTCTCAGAAATCTAGGAGATGTCTGGTGTCGGCCTGGGAAGGACACTGCTGCATCCTGTGGTCTGCTGCACACGGAATACCCCAGAGCCAGGCTTAAAGGGCCCTGGAGACATGGGGAAGACATGGGTGTGCTGAGGTTTGGTTCCCATCCCATTGATGTCTAAGACAGGGCAGCATCCGCTTCCAAGTTTCCTTCTTCAGATACGTGGTTGAGAGCATCTGGTTGGCAGGCAGGCAGGTAGGTCTGGGTTTTGGACATGACTGTAGGGCAGTCATGGGGCAGGAGAATGGGGTAGAGTAGTGACTTTCTCCTGGGAGACTATGAGCTACTGGCTTGTTTTTCTGTTTCATTTTCTTCCACCTTTAAAAGAGGTCTGGTAACTTCTCAAGCCCCCTTTGGTTATGGGCTGAGGTGGTCCTAATCTTGATAAGGGAGGTAATCTTTGCAAACTGGGCTACAGCCTTAGGTGAATGCACTCCTCCCTTGTACAGACGCTGGGGACTGAATTTCTACCAGGCTTAGGTCTTGCCCATGTTCTGCCAGTGTGAATATTAATCTTGGTCTTTTCCAGAGCTTCAGACACTGTCCCTCCTAGTACCTTCTTTGCTCCTGGGCCCTAAGCCTGAGAGTCTGCCCTGCCAGCAACCTCCAGGCACTGCTCAGCAGTTGAGATAGAACAGACATGTATGCTATATGAAAAGTCATTATGTAATAAGCATGGAAAACCTGTAGCACCAATGCCCAATGTACATATGTGTGCCCATATCCTCCTTCCCCCATATTTATAGGAAATTAGTTCAAAGAGATCTGAGTCAGAACTTTTCCTGAGCAGTGGCAGTTAGATTCCTGCCCTAACACTCCGTAGTGCTCTCCCAGATCAGCAGTCTGAACAAGACACATGATGTGGGAGGCACTGGGTGAGAATTTGATAGATGTGAACCTGACCCTAAGGCAATCACAGCTGAGTCCCAGTAGTCAGAACACACACCCAGCACCCCAGATCAATCCCACTCCAATCAATGGAACCCCTCCCCTGTTTCCATTACTAAGACCTGGACTGGAGAAGCACTGGACCACAAAGTCATTTTGAACTGCAAGGTTGGCAGTTCAAACTTAGCCGCCACTCCTCAGAAACCCTATACAGGGTTGCTATGAGTTGGAACCAATGAGATGGCACTTAACAAGACCTTCTTCATCCAAAAGGCCTACATTTGCTTTTCCTTTAAGCAAACTAGTAGGGCAAGCTCTGGGAGCATAGTTTTGTGTACCTGTGGGAAATTTGGGCGTCCCTGAAATGTCTTTACATCTTCAGGACGTTTTGGAAGCGTCCTGGGATCTGACTTTCTGGAAGGCAGCATCTGGGTGGGCAGTGGGTGTGCCCTAATGAGCTCAGGTGACAAACTACCTTTAGTCCGGGACAGTTTGGACTCTGCGTTAGGAGCTGGGCAGAAAGTCCCCCCAAAATGGTCTGAGGGACATCAGCGCCCATTGTCCAGTCCAGGACTGACACAAAGTCCAAGCATGGGACTTTTGGGGAAAGAGCGATAGCAACCATACAGGCCTCCTAAGGGCTTCCCTAACTTTGGGTTGGGGCCATTTGAATACAGGTGTGATCTAGGGAGGAAGTTGCTCGGGCAGTTTCCAATCTAGCCCACAGGAAGGCCTGCGCTCCGGGCAAACTTTCCTCTCCACCCTGGTTTACAACTTCAGGAAGGAAGAGAAAGCGCAGGGGCCTGGTGTCAAACCAGAGGGCCAGAAACATTTATTTCTTTTATTTTAAAGTTCTATTTTTCCAGTCTAAAAAGGCTGGAGAGCCCCCCCACCCCCACCCCACGCAACCTCTGGCCCTCTCTGCACGCAGCCAGACCCGGAGCAGACCTGGAGGTGGGCCAGGCGCAGTTCCCGGACAGCGCTTTGCTTTCCCGCCGCTTCCCACAGCTCTCTCGGGTCCGGTAGGCCGCTTGGAGCTTCGTGCGGCGACTCCCGGAGCCTCGCCAACTGCCCCACCGTCCTCTCAGTCTGTCTGCTGTGTCTTGTCCAGGAGGACGCAGCAAAGTCGCTCACGCGTTTTCCTAGAGTTTGGGATAGGTTAAGGCGCGGGGATTCTGAGAATGGCCCCCCCAGCGCTCGAAGCCCCGGGAGAATTGCCGGCGCGGGGCTCCGTAGCCAACTGGGGCGTCGTCGGCGCTACGTGTGGGTGGCACGGTGTAAGGCCCCAGGGACCAGAGCAGTTGGGCAGGGGAGCAGCAGGACTCCGGGCCACCGAGGAGGAGAGGGCGTGGCTCCCCTCCGCCCTCCAGGCCTTGCCCTGGCCCACGAAGCGGCCTGGAGGGTCTTCAAGAGAAAACGGTTTGGAGGCCACGGGCTCACAGGGGATCTTGCTCAAACGAAAAAAGTGAGAACTGGTTCTGGCGGCCCGATATTGGAGGTCAGGAAAATCGACAGAGTGGTCAGAGGCTGGCCAGGGCCGAACACGATATCGGTGGGCTCACAGGCCTGGGAGCGGCCGGGCTCGGTTCACCTCGCGGTGGTCTTCAGTCCCCACCAGCCGTCATGCCTCAGTCCTGCTGTCCTTCCTCCAGGGTTCACTGGGCTGTTCTGGAGGGACTTCGGGAGTGGGGAGAGGGTCAGGTTCAGGACTGTTGGTTTCGAAAGCCCAAATACCCCCGCCATCGGATTCCCCTACTTCTCCTACCCGGGGGAGGTCGAGGGGCTGTGCATCCCACGTCCAGCCTTCTGAAGTGTGTGCGCGCGAGCGCCCTCATGCGGCTGGTCCCAGAATTGAACTCGGTGGACTGGCGCTCGCTGTGTTCTCTGAAGAGGGAACCACCCACGCGCTACCTAGCCCTATGACCTAGCAGAGAGGGCGCGAGAAGTGGGGCACTTTTGTGAACTATGTTCCCTGGGAGGCAGACACTCACTCAAGACTAGAAATGCAATAGGTTTTGCGGGGCAGCGTATCCTTGGGGACAGACACCTACTTTTCTCCATCTCTTGTCTTCCCTGGCCTGTCTGGTTCACCTTTGCACATAGTGGGTACGCAGGAAATGTATAGAATGGATACTTGAATGACCAATAGGTTTTGACTGATAGCAACAACTGAGAAGCGTGTAGACCAATAGGA